GGTGTTAGGATAAATGCCACTTAGTTATGGGAGAGTTGAAAATACAGGGGTAGAAATTTGGAAGGAATTATACGATTGTGGTAATTTCCAGATTTTCAATTCTTATTTTTTGTAAGACAAAAGGCATTCATTTACTGTCATCTTCAAACTACAGAGAGAACCCAGGTCATGGCTCTTCTAATAAGCACTGTGCAAGGAGATTTCTGAGACTGAAGCTCTGAGTTGTGGTTCAGTCAGCGACCTCAGAGCTGACAGCTACTACTCCCCTTGCCTGTCCCAGCTCTGCCAGCGTCTGCAGATGCTCTGCTGAGCTGATTCCACCCACTTGGTAAGCAGAACGCGATTCCCTTTTCTTTGTTGAGGTGAATTTTGTGCTGATTCAACAAGTTAAATCAGTCCAATGCAAGATTAGACAATCACCAGGTCTAATGTCAAAAGAGCGAGGAAAAAAGGAACAAGATTTTTCTCATCCAGTGGAAGCAAGCCATTAACATGACTCAAATTATAACAGGTAACTCTACCCTGACAGGCAGATTCTCAGGGGATTAAGCCAAGACAAGAGTGTACTACTGGCAAAAGTCATCATTCCATCCTTTCCCCTTTCCTTAGTCATGCCTTCCTGATGCCTGCTCTCTGCTGGCTATGACACTCATGCAGCCATATGTTAAGCCAGATCGACTTGCCAACAGAGCTGAAAGCTAATCCAGTTTACAAAAAAAAAAAGTTTCCAGCAGGATCAATTTTGGCAGCCAGCCGATCCTGCAGCCGAACGAACAGCAGTGCCAGGATAAGCCAGTGAGAGGGCCTGTTTCGGTGGCAGCCTGCACACACGTCAGCATAAACCAGAAGTGCCCCCACAGGCCATAATTTCACAAATGCTTCCAGCCAGCTATTGCCAGCACTGCTGCCAAAAGTAACACAGCCTTGCCCTCGGCCACACCAGCTGCTTGTTCCAGGCTCCAGGCACCCGCTGTGCTTTGCTGGAGAAGAACTGATTGATAACTATAGTTGGAGTTAAAAGCAGCATTTTTTTTTCCTCCCAAATTTGTATTCCACATCAGTAAAGCACCTTTGAACCAAAGACCTGTTGGATTGTAATTGTCTCCTGGAGTGAAGCTCCAGGGAAAAGAGGTGAGTTGAGGGCATTTTACAGTCTTATCCTTGGCTGCAAACCTGCCTTCCCACTAAGGCTAAGGCTTCACGTCCCGTTAGAGAGGTGTCAGAGCACACACAGAATACCCAGCTTCAGGACTCCAGCTTGAAGGACTCTGCTTTATTCAGCTGTGCTGGGGTGAGCATACTCTCAATCTGAGGTGGATAATGTAGTTGCTGTGGGGACCTAAATATGGACATATATCTGCAAGAGCGTAGAGCAGCTTGATAAAAAGATACCATAAAATAACACAAGCAAATTATTCAAAACAGCTCCATGTATCAAACACCTTACTGATGTATGAATGTTTCACAACTATATTGTATCTGATTACATTTCTTTTCAACAGATACATCTGGACTATATTAAACATTCCAAACAAGGGATCAGAGAAAGCAGTTTCTTGTTATTCTTCCATAAAAGCGACTTTTAATATGGATTGTAGAAATACCAAGCATTAAAAATCCATGAAGGATCATCAGCAACTGAAATGATCAACTGCTGTTTTGAGGTCTGAATTTCAGAGACTGCCTTGATATCTGCAGGGTCTCTGGTGGCTATTTTAGCAGTACTGAAAAGTTCTGTAGTTTTGCATACAGAACTATGACCTACAGAGTTAACTAATATTCAGCACTTTGCCAGATTTTTTCCGCAGAGGGACGTGGGGGGGAATCGATGATGAATTCAGTCAGCTCCTTAGCGAAATCCTATTTATTTACAAAGAATGTACAGCCACGTCCCCTTTCCTTGCACGCAGAGGAAGCAAATGGGAGGGAGAACTGTGCAGCAGTCCAAGTTTGCTGCTCCAGCCAGGATGCTTGCCCAGAAGAAGCTGTCCCTTGGCTTTTTCTCAGGGCCATACACCACTGCTTCTCCCACTGTCTGCTGGCTCTTGTGTGGTGTTTCCGGTCCCAGACATGCACACAGGCAAACACAGCTGCAACCAATCTGTGCTCTTGCTGCTGCACTCACAAGCAGTCCCTAGAAAAGTGTCCCTGACTTTCCCCAAATTAGTGCTTGCTCATACAAGTTAACTCATCTTAGCACTTGGCCATGCACCCCTGTGCCTTCACCCCTGCCTGCATGGGCAGCAGTTTCTCATTTTTAGCTATCTTATGCCAGAAAATAACTTAATTGCTCCTTCCTGAACAAAGCACAGACAGCGTCCATGTCAGTTTTAATGAGGTTTGGGATTGCCTATAGATCAAAGCTCTGCTACAATGGGTTTTGTTTGTATTGCACAATGAGGAAAGAAGTGACCTCCAAAGCAAAGAGAACAACAAGGAAGAAAATTAAATTTCCATATGTAATTTCTTCTATGATTTGGCAAGCGTCAGATTAACTGTGTAAAACAGAGGACTTCCTACATAATGTTAATCTTCACAAGAACTGCATTATGGTGAAGATTTCGAAAGTACAAGCACAACCTGTTTTTCATCTGAGACCTTGTCTGTATCATCTTCCAAACCACAGGCCTGACCCTGGGAGTGGAAAGACTGCTTTCAATAAACACACCTTGATTTTCCAGTTCTGCACCATCATTTACTTCTGTGCAAGTTGCATGGAGACATTACTAAACCAATTCCAACATACATAATAACTACTTTTTTACATTGGTTTTCACAGGTGAAAATGCCTCCACAAAGCATGCAGGAGCAGAGAAGCAAGTCCAATTGGTTTTTACTTGCAGGACAAAGAGGAATTATTTCTCTGTGAACGGATTAGTCATGTATTACACTGTTGTAATGTGTGCTGCCACAATGGGAGAGCTGCTCTCTCCTGCAAATTTGGCATATCAGAGAACCTTTCTGAAACATACTTGTCTGAAGCCAGTAGATGTACTTTGAAGGGCCAATGAGAGATAGTTGTATTTTGTGAATGAAGCTCTAAGGCAGGGAATTAAACAAGTCAATGACCATCATTTTCCTTCAGCAGGTCCTCCAAATAAGTCTGCATTTGTGAAATGGATGGGAGTGGTTGTGTTGTACTAGCACAGTTCCCAGACAAAATGTCTCTGGTGCTACTGTTCAAGGAAATAAAGTTAAAACGCTGCAATCAGCAAACATGTCTAGGCATGCCGAGCATAATTTTGCATCCAGTGTGGGAGGGTCCAAAATACTTGGCCTCCCCACGTGAAAGAAATGAACATTCAAGTAAGGCAGAAGCTGAATTAACCCATGATTACCAAGCACAATTATACTTCTAAATATTGAAGGCAAGATCTTCATTTCTTTGGGGCAGTTCTTTGTGCACTGTTAAGTTTTTGGTCTTCACACACTCTATAAACAGGCTGACAAGCACATTTAGGAATACAGTGCTATCCTGTTGCAACTGTTCACCTCATCAAGAAAGGCATACAAGTAAACCACATTTCTTACCAGCTGACTTTTGCCTTACTTCCACCACACCAGCGTATATTCTGCTTGACTGTGTTCGACGCCAGAGCCTTCACTCAGGGCACACAGACACGTCTGCCGCCATTCCTGCTCCTCGCCACGCAAACCGATGTGCCACCAGCCGCTGCAGGCTGCTCAGCAGCTGGGCTCTGCATCTGCAGGGAGACAGGATGGGCGCAAGGATGAGCCGTCCCCGAGGCTTCCCGCCCGCCATGCACACGGGCGCTGCAAACAGCGTGCTCCAAAGCAGCACGGGCAGCTTGGCCAAGCTGCTGCAAGAGCTTTGCTGCACGAGGGCTGCGGTCTGCTGGCCTGTAAAACCAGCCTCTCCAGTTCAGAGAGTAGTGGAGCAGGAAACTGGCAGGGAGGCACGGCCAGACAGTGCTCCCCAAAGCTTCATCCCCTTGAGTCCAACAGATTTGGCAATGCTGACTTCATGTGGTGAGATGTGTTTGTACTCCCACTGCTCATTTGGGAGAAGAAAGGACATAGTGGGGCAGAGAAAAACATGGGACAGGGAGCCATTTATAGCTTAAATCCCAAAGTTTTTTCATTTTCTTTTCTTTTTAAAACTATATTAATATTTATCTTTTACCATTTTCTGTAACAAACCCACAACAAAATCCCACAGTGACTTAAATGAGACTAAATTTGTGAACAACAAGCTATGCCAATAAGAATCCTGATGCCCTCCATATGAAATAAATAAACATCAGTTTCCACCTAATATTTACTTCTTGGAAGTTCAAGACTAATCCCATTTGGCATATTTTAAGGAAGTGAGCTCTTGACCCCAAATGTTTATGGGCTGTAACAGTAAGTTCAATAAAAAAAAAAGGAAGCACATTTTAAAGCTTCTCTTAAAATCAGATTGGTTTTAGGCATAATTTTGAGAAAGACAGCACTTTACCTCATGTTTCAAATAAAAGGGGGTAAGTGTGACTGATACAGCCCATCCAGACCAGTAAGAGATTTGTGGCTAGGAAAGTTTATTTTAACAAGGATTTCTGAATATCTGTATTAACCCCCGGCCACCACAAGACAGTTAACATAGTACCACATGGGCTACATTACTTACATCATACTTCATACTGTAATAAAATGTTAAGGGAGTCTTCTAGGTGAAATGCCACAAAATAATACACCAACTGAAATAATGAGAAACAACAATTTCATCCCCAACTGGTTTGGAGATAAACAGGCCTTCAGATGCAAGTAATTAAATTACCTGCTGTAAGCAAAACATTCTATATCAGCAGGCCATGGCACATTTATTTGATATTTTTCTCTAGATTAAAAAAATATTAAGTGGGCACAGGTAGGCTTCTCTAGTCATCAATATTTACTGTGTTTGTTGGAGCCCAGTTTGTGGGTCCTGCTCTGGATGCTGTGTGTGCTGTAGGAATGCAGAAATAGACATAGAAAATAGACATAACCCAGAGAACACAAGTCATGTTACAGCTTTTTATTAGGCAGTATCCTACCTCTGTGAAAGGGACACAAAGCTGGCCCCAAAAACAAAGTTTGTGCTTTACAAAACAAAATGGTAAGTGCAATGACAGCCCACTGTAGCAGTCTTTGCAGGTGAATTTAAGTGAGTAAACGAGGAGAGGTTTGAGCACACGCAAAAGTACTCCAGGAGCAAAGCGCGCCTCTTCAAACACCGGGGGTTGAGACCCAGAGACGGGAGTCAGAGGTCTGGAAAGGAAAGAGCAACTCACAGGTGCACCTGCAGGCCCGCTTGTGTGACCCTTTCATTTCACTCCGAGCCACGTCGGAGTTTTCCAATAATTAAAAACGAGAAAGGTGGAGGGAAAAAAAAAAGAAAAAGGAAATAAATAAACCGGGTTCTTGTTACTTGGTGCCAGGAATAACTGAGCAGTAAATTTCCATGAAGGAGTCCCTTCTCACGTGTGAGGTTCGTTGATGCCACACCTACCACCTGCCAATCATAAATCAGCTTCCTCTCTTTTAATATATGTACATATATACATGAATTATCCTTTATATGCATGTACATACGTACAATACGTCCTTTAGGTGGCTGCGCCGGGCGCCTCACGCCACGGCAACAACTGCGGAAAAAGAGCAGTCGGGGCTGCACTCGTTGTCCACTAGATTTTAATTTCCAGAGGAAGGCCGGGGCGTTAATGTCGAACTATTTTTTAATTTCACTTCAGCCCTCCCTCAGCGCGGCGCTCCCCGCCCGCCATGTCGCGGCGGGGCGGGCCCGCGCGGCGGCCGTTGCGCCTGCGCGCTGCGGGGGGTGCGGCCGGCCATGGCCGCCTCCGTGTTCTGCTGCTTCTCCTGGTGCCGGGATGGCGGCGCCGGGCACATCCCGCTCAAGGAGATGCCGGCCGTGCACCTGGACACGCAGCGCATGGGTGAGCGGGGCAGGGGCGCTGCCGCCGGCGGGCGGCTCCCCGGCGGGCAGGGCCGCAGCCCCGGAGCGCGGCACGGGGTAACCGCTAGGAAAGTCACTTTGGGGCTACTTCTTTAGCAGGAATTGGCAGCTTTCGGGAAAAAAAGAAATAAGGACGCTTGGTTTAAAAGTGGTTTAAGGCAGCATGTGTTTAGCTGAAGCCGATGGGCGCAGTGGGTGTGTGAGGTGCCCGGGGGCGGCAGGCGCCCGGCGGGGCTGTCGTGGCCAGGGTGGGCACGGGTGGTTCGGAGCCGCGGGGCTGCGTTCACCGAACCACAGGATCTGGGAGGCTGGAAAAGGCTCCTGAGGTCATCGAGTCCCACCTGTGGCCCAGTGCCACCACGTCAGCCAGACCAGGGCACTTAGTGCCACGTCCAGCCTTTCCTTAAACATCTCTAGGGACGGCTAGACTCCCCCTCCAGTTACGGCAGTGGAGATGAAGAAGGAGCCGGGCCGCGCAGAGTCTTGTCCGTGCTGCTCTTTTGAGGATACCCTTAGCATGAGCTGTCCGCACAACCGTGCCCGGGCTGTGTGAGGAGAGGAGGAACCGGGGCTAGCAGCAGCGGAGCAGGGGAGAGAGTTGGGGAGGAATAGGTACGGTCCGGTGCTTGAGCACAATTGTTAGCCACAGCCTCCCATGTGCTTGGCCATGACAACAGTGCCTAAAGATGAAGTCCAATGGAGAAGGAAAACTAAGCAGAGGATTTCTTTTCTCTCTGTATTGGCAGGCACATTTCTAATAGAAGGATTATTTCAGAGACTAACTAAACACCTTGTAATTCCATCAAATCATTTTTACCCGATAGGCTTTTCCTTCTTGATGCAGAATGCTTTTTCTCCAATGTTAGAGAACAGAGTACAGGGCTTTGGTCTCACACTGAACCCTTTCTTACTAAATTGTATGTTTTGCTTCTGATGTGGCTAAGTAAAAGCTGTAATCAGCATGGTGCTGTAAAGCCTGAGAGGTGAAAATTAGATCGGGTTATAGATATTAAATAAATAAACCCTAGTGGAAAGATGAACTAGCTTGTAAACAACGTTCCTTCTCTTGCTTCAAAGCATGGCCTGTCATCATATTTCTCACAGACTAATGAAGCTTTTACTTGGGGTAGAAGTAGCAAAAACTGGTCTCAGTGTTTAGGGTTTTTGAGGGCTCCTCTCAGATTTCTAAAAATGTTTTGAAGTTCTGTGGATTTTTTTTCTTCTTGCAGGAACAGATGTTGTCATTGTTAAAAATGGCAGAAGAATATGTGGCACGGGAGGCTGCTTAGCCAATGCACCTTTGCATCAGAACAAGAGTTATTTCGAGTTTAAAATTCAGTCCACAGGTTAGTCAGCAAAAAATATACAACTTTAAACTTGGGAGGTATGTTACATTACCTGCTGGTGGCGGTATCTCAAATGCTCAGCACATGCATCTTTCTAATAGCATCCTTGAACTTGTGAACATTAGAGAGATTTATAAGTTACTGTGTGAAAGGAAATTTCTTTTTTTTTTTTTAAATTCTGACTCTAAAATATTAAAAATAATACTAAGTTTATTACTAAAGGAGTGCAAATACTAACCCCCTCATTGTTTTGTATGCTGTTATAGGCATGTTTTTCAGGTGGCATATTTTAGAAATTATTTTTGCTCAATAAATGCTTATGACCACATAAAACACTGTAGCTATGAAGTATTTTTTTAAGAATTGCAGTTTATCCAGTGATATTTGTATCTATTTGTCTACCCTCATTTGCTCTTGGCAGGCACTCTTTGCCCAAGCAAGGGTAACACTCCTTGTGCGACCCTTTGCTCTTCAGATGTAGTGTGTAGCACTTACTCTGGCATTGCCTTATTCTGAGGAGCCTTTCAGCACCTTGTTCCTTTAATTGCTCCTACAAATATGGTCAGCTTCACTACTACAGAGAGCACTCCAGGCTTGCCTGTATTGTGGCATGAAAAATCAGCCTGTATTTTCAAAGTTGCTAGCAGACACTCTGAAAATGAAGCTGTGCTTTCCCTAAGTATGTGTGTGGGGAGGGAAGAAGAAGGGAAGTGTTAGTCCAGAGGCAGGCCTTATGTACCAGCTCATGCTCGATGCTGAAACTTTCTGGGTAAGATTTGTTTGCCTTCAGGTGGATTAGAGTACAGGCAGCATGAACACAGATTTGCCCACACCTTGCAGTCCAGCTAGCTGGTTAGTTGGAACCTACATGTAAGCCCTTATCCATCTTAACTTGGCAATTTTATTATCCTTTATTTCGGGAAGAATCCATTGCAGCTGTTGTTCATACATGGTCATTATTCACACAGATAGTGTACCCATGTTCTTACACTTGAGAAACATGGGAAATAAACACTCCTGGTCCCTGTGAGCCTTTTTTCCTCTATTCCTGTGCCCCGAGGCGGGAAAATTGTGGAAGACTTAAAGTAAATCTTAGATTTCCAGAAGCATCCCTGCACAGTCAATTAGAGGTTATCTGTGAGGTCACCCTGACTATTGTAATGTTTTCTAAAATCGAATCACACTCCTACCTTTTCATTCTTGGTGTTAGAATAAATTATTCTACAGTTTCATCTTTTGAAAATAAGTTTCTTACATATTTGCCTTATTTTAGTCTTCTCAGGACTAAAAAGTCCCAGTTTGTTGGGGTTTCTTTCATTATGTCCTTGTAGATAAAATTTTTACACTTTTAATTGGTTTTGTTGTTTCTTCTACAGTATCTTTAGTCAATCTAATTTATCTTGAGGTAAAGTGCTTAAAATGGATGCTCTGCTTCAGCTGCAGCAGCAGTAAATTACCTCACCAGTTTTATGCATGCCACACATCCAGAAGTTTTCCACATCAGCAGAGCACTCACACTCAGCAAGTGGTCTGTGAACTGGTTACCAAGCCACCACTGTATTTGTGCCACTTATTGTTCCTACTTACCTGCTCTTCTTTATAATTTAGTAATAACAGATACACTTTCTTTATTTCTACCCAGTTAGTCAGGATCACATTAAACTTGAGAGGCCTCTCAAGAGCTTGCAGTCCTGTCAGGCTGGGATTGGCAGCACATTTAATCAACACATCGTCATGTTATTCAAGTAACTGATAGTAATGCAGAACAGTATCTGACCTTGTGCATTCAATGCAAAACCTCAAACCCCACTTGAGTCATCTTTTTTGATTTGACAGGGTGCTACTGATGAGTAATCCTGGAATAGCTTTCTAACCACTTGTGCCTTCGTATTGCTGTAACTGTCTAGACCATGCTTTCATCATTTGACTATTTCAGTGTTGTATGAGTTTCAAAAATATTGCCAGATTAAGGTCTGTAATATTAACACTTCCTTTTTTTTCCATAAGACCTATCTAACTAGTTGAAAAAGGAAAATTTGTTGTTTACAGATGCATGCTAGTTGGATTTATTTTTTGTATCCACCTACAGCCTCAGAGTTTGTTTTCAGTATTTTTCTGGGGATAAAAGTTGAGTGGTTACAATTCTCTTTCTCAGATATCCTTCTTTTTCAAGATAGATGCTGTTTGTCCTCAGTCTCCCATGTCTCCTTGTGCTGAGTCTGGTCAGGATTAAGTTAATTATCTTCATAGCAGCTGCTGTGTTTGTGTGTTTTAGATTTGTGGCCAAAGCAATACTGATAACAAAACAATACTGATAACACATCAATATTTTAGCGATTGCTAAGCAGGACTTGCACAGCATCAAAATCTCCTCTTTTTCTTAGTCTACCCCTCCAGTGAATACGATTAGGGTTGCATAAGGACTTGCAAGGGGACTTAACCAGGTGGATGACCCAAAATAGCCAAAGAGATATTCCAAACCACATATCACCTGTCTTGTTCAGGAATAAATGGGAGAGGAGGGGATTTAGGGAGATTAGCCATCTTTTACTTGGGAATTGCCTGGGCATCAGTCTACCCATGGAAGGTGGTGAGTGATTACCATTGTAGCACGTTGTCTTGTCTCTTTCACTTCTGCTTTACTAACTAAACAATTTTTATCTTTAGCCACAAGTTTTCTTAGTTTTATTCTTCCTTTCCTCTTCCTCCATTCCATGAGGGCCTGGGTGGGCTGGGGAAGAGAATGACTGGCTGGATGGTGCTTAGCTGCCAGAGCTAACCTACAATAGTTCTGGTATTTCCAGGAGATATGTACTGGTAGTACAATCATGGCATTAGTTAAGAAACAAATTCTTTATGCTGTCGTGCTTCAGTCAGTCTTCAAAATAACATGTTTTTTTTTCTTACTGTGTTAATATCACATTTTAGGAATTTGGGGTATAGGAGTTGCAACCCAGAAAGCAAACTTGAATCAAATTCCACTTGGTCGAGATGTCCACAGCCTGGTGGTGAGAAATGATGGGGCTCTCTACTATAACAATGAGGAGAAAAATAGGCTACCAGCAAACAACCTTCCTCAGGAGGGTGATGTGGTGGTGAGTTTCTTAAGACTTTCTTACTTCCTCATCTGTTCTCAAATGCCTCTTATTTGCAACTCTGTTTAAAGACAAATTTAAGTCAAATTGTTAAGTTTGCTTCTCCCATTTTGGAAAGTGGTGGGATATAGATTCATGTTGTCTTTGAATGAATCAGCAGCCTGGATGTGTGTGGACTTCATTCTTGGTATTGATAAGTTCCTAATGAGAGATGGACTTGACCAGAGTTTGAGAAATAGTTTCTGGTGCTCTATTGCAGTATCTATCTGATTGATAATTCCCATCACAAGGATCTTACATGGCTTGAGATGGGACCTGCCTGAACAAATAATATTCTGGAATGCATTACATGTCTATGCACCATGCCCAGCTGAACTCAAGAACCCTTAGCTAACTGGTTAATGATTAGAAGGACAGAGGGGAGCAGAGATGGGTCCTGGGTGATAAATGAATTGTATTTTTAGTTAAACTTTTGTAGTTTTTGGGGATATTGAGTGAGGAGGGGGTAATGTTCACTGGAAAAATAACTGAGGGAAAATTTTAATTTTTTGTACCTTACTATTTCAGGTTTCTCAAAATACCCTTAAGTGATTTTGTTCAAAGTGTTACTTTTTTAGTACTTTCATTTTCTCCATGTCCTCTTACGTATTTTCAAAAATACATGAGAGCAATGCAATGAAATTGAGATCATTTATCACCCCTACTTTTTTATGCTAGGTAACTTGCCTCTCTGTAGCCATGGTTAGAAATGCCATCTTTAGAAGCCGCAAACAAGTAAGGGTGACATCTCCACCCTTAACCCTCAGATACAATACTGTTCTTTTAATCCTCTTCTGAAATTGTTTTTTGAAGGGCTGCAAACTCTTTCAGGCTTTGGTGAACTAGTGTGGTCTGAACAGCTTCAACTAATCACAAAAAACGTAACTGATGTGTTACTGCTAACTTCCCCATTTCCATAAGTATCAAGTTAATTTGTTCTGTCATGAAAACAAATTTTTGAAGTCCTGCATGAGCGCACAAATTGCCACACTCGGACATACCAAAGCAGTGAGGAAAGACCTTTTGCTAACAGATTAGTCAATTACTATCTTGTTAGTGTTTGCTTTCTGCTCTGTGGTCAGCATATTTATAGCATTGTGTGTGAAACCACGGACTGTTGCTGCCAGCAGAGTAAATGAACTGAGAGAGGTTTCCATATGGAGGTATGGAAGGATGAACTTGGTTCCTAACATCATTATTTATTAAAGTTATTTCCGTGAGAAGATACAAACAAGAAGATTGCAAACCACCTCATACTCAAAATTGTTGAACATCTTGTGTTTTCTTTAATGTGGTAAAGTTTGGAAATTTGTTCTGTAAAGTCAGTAAGATGCAAAGTGTATTGTGCAGTACTGTGCTGCATCCCAGTTGGAACAGGCATTAAGGAATACTGTGTATTTGAAAATACAGATGTTACTGGTCGTTTATTAACTTTCAGTCCTTGTCAGGAATCTGTCAAGTAAGATTTTCTAGGATGCTGTGGTTTGCATAATGGTGTTAAAATCTGCCTGTGGCTAAGGAAGCCAAGTAGCCTTATGTGTATAAACTTGTTGATGGGGTTTTTTTTGTTAATTTTCTGTACTTTGTAGGGCATTACATATGACCATGTAGAATTAAATGTATATTTAAATGGCAAGAACATGCATTGTCCAGCTTCAGGAATCAGGGGGACTGTCTATCCAGTGGTCTATGGTAAGTCAAATATTTTCAAACTGTTTCACATTATGGAAAATATTTTCATTCCAGTTCTGTGATCTGTGTATTCTTCTCACTTAAATGGAACACACATGAATCATCTATTCTTGGCAGCTACAACAATTAATTACATGAAAATGTAAACATAGGAAATTACAAAATAATATTCTCACCTATTTTTTAATGCTGCTTAATAGGAAAAAAAGCACTGCTTACTGACTGCTTACAGTGTCCACACCCAGCAAGCTGGGGAATTGCTGCACTCAGTCTAAAAGTTGCCAGATAAAAAAAATATGAAGCAGATGGCAGACTTGTGGGTTAATCTGATTTATCTATGAAGCTTGATATTTGTGCCTTCTAATTTCACATACTTCACAAATGCCATCAGTGTTCCATAGCAATAGAATTGTTGTTTGTGTTTTCTTGAGCTTCCTGTGCAGTTTCTGTCCTTTGCCGCTGTCCTATTGCTGGGCACCACCAAGCAATGCCTGGAGGCACCCTCCCTTCAGATAGTGATATTCATAGATATTGGGGAGGGCCCTTCTCAGTCATCTCTTACTGAGACTGAACAGACCCAGCTCCCTCAGCCTTTTCTCACAGGAGAGATGCTCCAGTCCCTTCATATCTTTGTCACCATCCTCTGGACCTGCTCCAGGAGCTCCATCTTCAGTTTTTCTGAACCTCATCTAAGTAGTAGCCAAAATAATTTTGATCATAAGGATAACCCTTAGCTACATGATGGGGATATTTTTTAATTCATGGTGGGTTCCTCATGAGCTGTTGGCATGTTCCCGTTTATATCTTGATACATTTTGATTGATACGGAATTTTATGAGCAGGAAGAAAACACAGCAGATGTGTTGTAGATTATTTGGAGTCTGTCAATGTAGCTGGTGGATCGCTTGCTTCCAAGCCCTGGGGGTGGAATCGTTTTCCATGGTCAAGTTGTGATGTGTCCTTCAGCCACGTGATGGCGCCACTGAAATGCTGTGGCGGCTCCGCGGGACCTCCGTGCGGAGCCCTCAGCAGCAGCAGCAGCAGCAGCAGTGACACTGTGTGTGCTGCGTCTTCCTGTGCTTTGGAAGGGGTCTTACACAGCATGAAGAATGAAGGTTGCTTTCAGAAAATACTCAGTGGCATCTTAGCCTACTGTTAATCTTTTTTCTCTGACTAAAGAAGTCCCATGCCTGTAGAGTGCAGTGGCCTTTTATTGCCGGGCTCTTTTGGTCTTCTTCCACAAGTGGGCATAATTTCATCATAATTATCATGTCTCCTACATATAGCTATTACTTGAAGCCTGCAGGTTGTTATTGTACACTACTAACTTGGTATAAGCTTCAAGTGTTCTTAATTTGATGTGAACTTCTAGTCCTGTGGACTAGAAGAACTTCTAGTCCTGTGGATGGATTTGGCTCTGCGGAAGAGTTTCTCAAACATTTACCCTATTCAGGCTAGAACCATAGATATCTTTTTACAAGAAATGTGATACATCAGGCAAACTCAGTGTCAAGCATTTGAGAAGATAAAACAAAAAAATGGACTTAAAAGTTATTCCCTACAGCATCTGTACCTCAGGCACTTTAATGGAAGTAAGACATAAACACTGCGTAAGTACCAGAGAACTGTACAAATGTACTGATAGGAGTTTTCACAAAGCCTAGGGGGAGGAATTCCGACCTTGTCTCTGAGATAGCTAAATTCCAAAATATGGAGATGAAGCTTTTCTTGTTTGAACCAACATTGACATTCTGCCAGGTTCATCTCAGAAGTTGTGTTTGAAAGAGACTTTGCTTTTCTGACTAGGTGGGTGTTTCAGTTTGCTAGTGAAGTACACAGAAGCGTTGCTCTGAAAATACTCATCAGTTTCTTTTTTATATTCTACATTGAAAGTACTGCTGTAGGTGGATAGATTATGCAGGGGGTCAAAAACTGGGAGAAGTTCTGTAAAAAAAACACATTAACTTCCAGCTTCAAGAAGCAGTCAAAGAAGCTCTCTTTCAATCATACGCTAAAACTGATGGTTTGATACCAACTGCTGCAGACACGTGAAACCTTGTAAACTTCCAAAAAGCCACGGTAGACAGCTGAAACTCCAGCAGAATTAGGAACAGAAAAATATGCACATGAAGAGGTGACATCCCTGCAAGGTTTATCTGGTAGCATCCTTAATCTGTAGGTTTCTGGAGAAATCTAGAAAATTTGGAATCAATAGCCTGAAGCTCTGCTAACACTCTCAGTGAAATTAGACATTCTCATTGACTTCACCAAGGAACCATTCCCGAGTAAACAGGGGAAAAGAGAGATGGTTTGCTCTCCTGGCTTGAGGCCTTACCAAATTCATTGAAGAGATTTATTTTAATTGTGTATGCATAATGGATGTATTGAAGAAATTCTTTGTGGTTTGAGCACAGTCTGCAGTTTATTAAGATGGTATAAAAGAGCATCAAACTGTAAGTGTTCCTTCTCTAATTCCTTCTTTTTGGTTCTCTTCTGCAGTTGATGACAGTGCCATTCTGGATTGTCAGTTCAGTGAATTTTATCATACACCTCCACCTGGGTTTGAAAAGATCCTCTTTGAGCAGCAAATCTTCTGAACGTCTTCATACTGAGAATTTGCACCCTGCACTGTTACAAAAGCTTTGTCATCTTGAAGCTTCATTTTACTTTTAGGAAACATATCTGTATTTTTAGTAAGTACTTGTGACTGTTGTCTGCAGAATAAATACATTAACTGCAAGACCAGGTAAATGTTGCTGTCCAAATAAGAGTTTTCTGGCATTGTTTTGTGGTTGAAAATGAGTGTTTTGAGGCAGGGTTTTTCTCTTGATTTGTACTTGATGCATAAGGAGACTAGGGACATTGCTGTTGTCAGTATTACATTCAGTATTTTGAATAAACTGGAGCTCTGTAAGGCAAATAATTTTTATGCATATGATAGCTATGGAGATGGGTAGTTCTCATGATTTTTCCCCCAGCCTTTTTCTCACAGAAATTATGTAATTTCTTTAAAGGATGCACTGTGTTTCTAGTCTGTGATTTGAAGTTGTGGTGTGTCCCAGTTGTGCACAATGACTAATAATACCATGGTTTAACTAGCAGCTAGATACCTTTTCTTTGCCAAGGTAGGCTAATCAATTCCCTCAATCTTAGACAAGCAAAGACAACTTATCTGTTTCTTCTAGCTTTTAATTTTCTTTTATTGTGACCAAAAAAAAAAAAAAAGAATATTTTCTAGAAATACTTTTTTGTTGAACCTTAAAAAGTAAACCTGAACACTACCTGTGTATTTGAGGACCACCATGCTCTGTTACTCTGCTAAGAGATTAAGTACAGATCACTGAACTTGGGTAAGCAAAGATCCAGGTGAAGGGTATGAGATGTTATGGTGAAGCCTTACATCTAAACTGTAAATTAGATTATTCTCTTATGGAATAGCATATTTAATTTCTTCATGAATCATTTATAAACGGCTAAGACATTGTTCTAAAATGTGATGCCCTTGAATATACATTGTGAGATGCTATTTTTTCCCCTCTTGTCATATTTAATATACTTCCTAGAATAATTTTTTTGTAAAAAAATATCTTCATACTGAATGTTTGTGGTTTTTGTTTTGGCTTTTCCTGGGTTAATGTGTTTGCATAAATGATTTTATTTAAGTATTTTTAGAAATTACCTTACTCTGATGTTTTTGGATACAAACAGCTTTCTCAAAGCCTTTCACCTTAGGATTTACTGCATCTGTCTTGACTCTGTGGCCCATGTTTTCCTTCCTTTTAGCCTTGATATCACGTGACAGTATTGGGTAGAACTTTTCAACCTTGTCAGCATTCTAACGTAAACCTCAGGAAATTAGAGTGCAATTTTATCATTTCCCTTTGAAATCTCCTCAAATCAGAGTAGGATAATAAGAAATAAAACCTAAATCCTAAAACACCTTCCCCCTCACCCTTCCCTTCTTTCTGGGCTTAAATTTTTCCCTAATTTGCTCGGTCTCGTTCTCCCAGCAGCGCAGAGAGACAAGGAATGGGGGCTGTAATCAGTTTATCACATGTTGTCTCTGCTGTGCCTTTTTCCTCAGGGGAGGGACTCCTCACATTCTTTCCCTGCTCCAGCATGGAGATGGTTCACATCTCCACTGTGAGTTCTTTTCATAGGCTGCAGTTCTTAATGGGCTGCTCCAGCATGGATCCCTTACACTGGGTGCAGTCCTTCAGGAACAGACGGCTCCAGCATGGGTCCCCATGGGACCTGTTCTGGGTCATGGCCTCCTTGGGGTATCCATGTGCTCTGGGTGGGGACCTTCACAGCCTGCAGGGGGTCTCTGGTCCCCCATGGATCCCCACAGGCTGCAGGGGCACAGCTGACTTGCCATGGGCTGCACCAGGGACTGCAGGGGAATCTTTGCTCCCGTGCTAGGAGGATCTCCTGCCCCTCCACTGACCCTGGTGTCTGTGGGGCTGTTTCTCTCATGTTCTCAACCCTCTTTCTGGCTGAAATGGTGCAGTTTTTCCCCCACCCCTTCTTAATCCTGGGGCTCTACCACTGTCTCTGGTGGCCTGACCTTGGCCGACTGTAAGTCCCTCTTGGACCCAGCTGGCATCGGATCTGTCAGAAATGGGGGAAGCTTCTGGCATCTTCCCATGGAAGCCACTCCTGTAGCCCCCTGCTACCAGAACCTTGCCATGCAAACCCAGTACACCTTCCACACAGCCTGGTCTTCAGATGTCTCTCCAAGTCCCAGGTTGCAGGGATTGCCTGTGACCTCTGTCTGAGGCCAAGAAAAATGGCCACTTCCAGAGGTGTGCTGTCTTGGGGAAGCTGTGCTGCCAGCTGGATGAGTTCAGGAGGCAGTGAGCAGGTAGCACATTAGACAACATGAAAGGGTTACAGACAGGATCTTCTCTGAGTTTTAACAGCTTGAAGAGCCTCAGACCCCATCTGTAACAGGGAAGACAGCAGTGTCTGCCTTGTACTATCAAGGTAAGCAAAACCTCTGGAGAAAAGGATGGATGGAAGCTGATGACTTCTGGCACCAAGAGGAATGTTCTTACTACACTTACGGGTTTACAGCTGCAAAACAGGTTCATTGCCCTCTTAGTTGAAGAGAAGCTAGATAAGCATGGGGGTGGGCAATACCTTGCTGATGAGAGGAAATGGAGTGAGACAGAGAAAGCACTAGTAGGACAAGTCAGTAATGAACTGTAGATCTAGTGTTAGGAACATCACAAGATCCTAATAGACAAGTTGTGGTAAGAACAGACAGTGAGGTGAACTGAAAACTGGATGAATGGCCAGGCCCAGAGGGAAGTCAGTGGCATGAAGTTTAGTTGGAGGCCAGTAACCAGCACTGTACTCCAGGGTCAGTACTGGCTCTGGTCCTCTTTAACATCCTCATTAACGTTCTGAGTGATGGTGCAGGGTGTACCTTTAGTGAGTTTGCAGCTGACACAAACTTGAAAGGATTGGCTGATATGCCAGAGGGTTGTGCTGCTATCCAGAGGGACCACAACAAGTTGGAGAAATGATGGGGAACTTACAAAGTTCAACAAGGAGAAGTGCAAAGTCCTGCGGTTGGGAAGAAACAACCCCATCTGTCTGAACAGGCTGAGGCTATCCATCTGCCAAGCAGCCTGGCAGAAAAGAACCTACAGGTCCTGGTGGACAGCAAGGTAAATTGAGCCCTTGCAGCAAAGAAAGTGAATGGTATCCATGACTGCATTAGCCAAAATATTGCCAGCAGGTTAATGGAGGTGGTCCTTTGCCTTTACTCAGCCCTGCTGGGGCCAGACTTGGACTGCTGTGTCCTGTCCTGGACTCCTTGGTACAAAAAAGACAGAGACACACTGGAGAGAGACTGAAGAGGGGCCACAAATATGATTAAGGGTGAAGCATCTTCCCTATGGGGCAAGGCTGGGAAAGCTCAGACTGTTCAGCCTGGAGAAGAGTAGGCTCAGGGAGATTTGATTAGTGCATATAAGACACATGGAGGGGGAGGATGAAAGGAATCCAGAGCCAGGCTCTTTGCAGTGGATAAGAGTGACAGGACTAAAGGCAATAGGCAGAAAGATATGCAGGAAGGTCCCTCTGAACACCAGGAAACATTTTTTATGGTCAAGATTACTGAGCACTGGCATAGCTTGGCCAGACTGGTTGTGGAGTCGTCATCCTTAGAGATATTCAAAAGTCAACTGGACATGGTTCTGGATAATTGGGTCTAGGTGGCCCTGCATGAGCAGGAGGATTGGACCAGATGACATCTGGAGATCCCTTCCCAGCTCATCCATTCTGTGTTCATTCAAATGCTTCACCTGGAATTATATTTATTACATTCATTGGTAAAGGAGGAAGTATTTAAAGAAATTCTAATCACTGTATCTAACTACATCCAGCAAACAACTCTCTCTGAAGACTGCTGTGGTTAAGAATATTTAACAGTAGAAGCTGCTACCTTGAGCTTAATGTAGACTTGCTTTAAAATAGAGATGAGGCTGCCTTCATCAAAGCTGGCGTTTGAAATGGAAAACATTTTGGTAAATATAAAATACTCAAAATAGCTGCTACATTCACCAAAAATATGGAAAGAGCCTGCTTTTGTGGCTTAAATTTGCTAATTTCTCATCTTAAACAGAATGAGATGCATTTGTAATACTGCACAATGTAACTGTATCTCTTCTGTAAAAGTCAGAAGACTTCTTGTTTTATAATCAGTGACATAGGAGAATTCTACCAAAAAAAAAGAGGTGAATAAAACCTTATGATAATCTATTCATCATAATGGAAAGAAAGACCAATTTTCACCTGAAAATAAGTTTTGTGATGAAAGTTCTTAAAAGAAGCAAGATTTAACTCCATTGGCCACAGAAATAGAATGTGAGTTAACCTGTGCCTGTCATTTCAGCACCTGGCAATGAATCCAAATGTTTTCCCGAAAGTGTTCCCAGTCCCAGCTTTGCCCAAAGAAATGGGGTGCAACACCCATTTCTAAAAGTTGCATTTCAGTTAAAAGTAAATTTCAGTTAAGATTTAGCAGTATATTTACTAGTAGCAAATTGTTTTAACAACAATGAATCATGCTTCCCAGTGAAATGGTTGAGGTATTTCCACTAATTGTTTATATTCAAAATGTTTTCTTAATCTTTGAATGTTACAGTTTTGACACCCTGTCTCTTTGAGTATAAAACTTTGTATTAACTAATGTTTCCTGAGTCCTTTTGACATTATACTGTGGCAGCAAGATGGGAAGTCTGAAAAAGACTTCATTTTCGCATCCACAAATCAATAGAAGTGACAGGACATAGTACAAGTTACATGTAGATCAGAGGAGTTGTTATTTTTATAATACTGGAACTGCCTGTCGTGCTTTGAGGGTAGATGAAATCAGCTAGTGCTATTCCAACAAGATTAAAATCCTAATTACATATTAGAAGGCTAGAAACACCTGTCAAGGATTTCCTGAAAAGGTGCTCTTCCACAAAAAATCAGGATCCAGTGCCATGGATTCTCTGCAAAGAGAAACTTCATGCTGTGCATTTGGTCTCTTAAATGCCATTCAGCATAGTTCTAATCCCACACTAGGAAAGAGCATTCAGAAATGGCAGGACGTGGCATTCAGGTGCAAATGTTCATGAAAATACAGACTTCCATGAATATTCACGCTGTTTTTCCTTTCCTCAGGCTTTCTTAGGAGTGCACTGCCATTCATACAGCTGTGTGCAAAAACAGAAGGAACCAGGTTCTATAGTGGAAAATTCTTTACTTCATCTGAGTTCTTAGATTATTTTTGTGTAATCACTCATCTTTGTAATCTGTTTGTGTGGATGTTCCCTTGCATAGTGGCAAACAATCAAGCTCATGGCTGAGATAAGTTTCCACAAAGGTCCACAAGTAAATCAATAAAACATTGTTTCATACCTTTCTCTCTGAATCCAGGCTTTAAGGCCCAAAGATCCAGCTCCCCATGTAATCTAAGGTGTTGAAAACCACTGTTGCTTCTGGAAATGGAATACTTCTTGCTTTAGTGAAGAGCTGCTTGCATAAAGGTGTCCAAAATGAAGCCGCTAAGGTACTTTCAGGAAGTATGGAAGATTTGGAAGGAATTTAAGTGCCTCTTCACTCCTCTTCACTGTTCCTTCCTTTGCCCAGTTCTGCAATAAAACATTTTCACTATAAATATCTTGGACTTCATAGAATTATAGAAGCACTTAGGTTGGAAGAGACTTCTGAGATACTCAAGCCCAGCCATTAACCCAGGACTGCACATGCCACATCTACATGTTCGACCTGCAGGAATGAGGACTCCACCACTTCCCTAGGCAGTCCAATGCACACAGTTCCAATTCTCAACCTTTTCAGTGAAGAAATTTTTCCTAGTATCCAATCTAAACCTCGCCTGGTACAGCTGGATGACATTTCCTCTTCTCCTGTCACTTGTTACCTGGGAGAAGAGACTGACACCTGTGTGGCTCCACTTTCCTCTCAGGCAGCTGTAGAGACTGACAAGGTCCCCCCTGAGCCTCCTTTTCTCAGCTAAACACCCCCAGCTCCCTCGGGCACTGCTCAAAAGACTTGTGCTCCAGACCCTTTAACAGCTATG